CTCCCCCTTCTTCCTCCCTTTTTGTCCTCGTCTTCCTTCCGCACGGGCGGGCCGTAATTCGTGACATTTTCGTTGCGTGCCCCCGCTTCTGTAGGGTAGCGCCACTTGTTTCCTCCCTCGTCGTCCTCCTCTCCTCCCGCCTCTGCGCCCCTCGCCTCCTCCTCCCCTTCAGTGTTTTTGCAGGTGGGTCCGAGGCTTTGCCCAGGATCCTTTGTCCGTCCCCTAGCGGGGTCGGGACTGCCCTCCCCTTTTTTCCTCTCCTTCTTCCGCTCCTTCCTCCTCCTCCTCGTCCTCCTTGCTTCCCTTGCCCCTCTTCTCTTCTCGCTGGTGTTTTTTTACTTCTGGGATGTTGTTGTGATTTAAGCCACTGGTCTCTGCTGCGGATCGACACGGAGTGCACGGGTTACTCGATTGGTGTTGCGGTCGCCCCTTCCCTCATGCCCCTCCTTCTTCTCCAAAAACATATGTGTATGTGGGGGCAATCTACGTAGTGCAGGTGGTGCAGTCCATGTGGTGAAATCAATGTGGTGCAATTTTGTTACACAACTTATGCTGTGCTATCTGTGTGGTTGCGCAATATATGTTATTCAATAAATGGTGGTGCAATCTCTGTTGCGTTTTCTATCGGGGCAACGTAAGACTCGAGTAAGGCGGAGCCCGGAATCCCCAAAGTTTTTTGACGAGTGTTTCCTGGGTTTTGACGGTCCAGTTTACGCGGGATGTTTGCAGGCGGGAGCCCGCATCAAGTTTCACATTTGGTCTCGTCATTTTTATGATAGCCCCCGTCAGGCAACCCGAGCCACCCGCACCCGAATCTTACGTCTCCCTGATTCCATGTGGTGCAGGATATGTGCTTGCGCCATATATGTTGTGCAGTCTGTGGTGGAATCTGTTGTGCAATATATGTGGTGCATTCTCTGTTGTGTGCGATCAAAAAGTGCGCCGCACGCGCGAATTTTTCGTACAATCTATTTGGTGCATCCCAACGGCGGCGACGGGCGGCGACGAGGCGGCGACGAGGCGGCGACGGAGGGGGAGGAGAGCAAGCGAAGGGAGCAACAGTCAGGGAGAGGGGTCCTGGGGTATCAGCTCGCCCGGCCCGTACCCGGAGAGCGCGACGCCGCGAGGCGCGGAGGAGGACTTCGGCAGCCCCGGCCTGCCGACGCCGGGAGCGATCAGGCCCCCGCGCGGCGCCAGCGGCTGCCGGTCGCTGCTCCTTTGTGCTGCCGCCGCTCCGCTTCCTCCGCATCCTCCCCGCCCTTCCTCGGCCCTCCTCGCCTCCTCCACATCCTCCCCGCCCCTCCTCCGCCTCCTCCCCGCCCCTCCTCGCACTCCACGTCCTCGCTGTGGTGTTGGGATCGTCGCCCTGTCTCACGATCTGTTATGAGGGTGGGCTGTCGGGCAGTTTTTTTTTGGGGTGGGGCTGGAGGGGGGGGGCGGCTGAGGGTCACCATGGTGCTGTTCACCCCCCGGCAGGGCTCAGCTGGCTAAGTCACTCGAGGTTCGGGACCGGTCTCCTCCTCCTTCTCCTTTCTTCTCCTCCTCCTATCCCGCGTTTCGGGACTAGTGTTTGAGCCCCTATTCGCTCCCTCGGCCCCGTTGTGAGACCCTCCCCAGCAATCGAACCCCTGGGGTGCGGCACCTCCCCAGGCAGACGGGGGCTTTCCCTTTCCCGTGCGGATGGCCGATCCGATCGGGAGACCGTCTGCGCCTGCTTCTAGGATCCCCCCACTTCGAACTCCATTTTCATCCCTTCATCTTCGTCACCCATCGCGATTTCTTTCATCATCGGCACTCCGATTCCTCATCCCTGGTTCGTTCCAATCCCGCACCCCGTTTTCATTCTCGTCCTCACTTTCTCCGTCACTTCTTCACCCCACTCCTTCCTCTCCTCATCAGCATCATAGTTGAATCATGTCGATCGTCGGCCTCGTCAACATCATCCTCACTTACGTCGTGATTCACAGGTTCCAGTCGTGTTCACTCTGGGGCCCTCTTGGGGTCCTGACTGGTACTGGGCCTTCTTGGAGCTCCAGTGTGGCCTCCCAGTATGCTTAGTCGTTCGCGCCGCGCTCGTGCTCCCTCCCCCTGGGATGGGAATGTATTCCCGTCCCCGGGGGTCGCGCAGAGTGCTCTGGGGTCGAGCGGTTACTGCGCGTGGGTCGCGCAGAGTGCTCTAGGCAGCGCTGCCCGTGCGAGTTACGGGCCTCGGAGTGTGCCATTTTTGCTGGATTACCCTTTGTCGCCTCTCGACACAGGAAAATTCCTCGAACAGGTTCTGTGGCCAAAATTCGTTCCCCTAAAATATCTGGAGATTGACGAAGAGGAAGAACGACCCGCAGGAGCACGTGAGCAGGCAGAGCACGACAGGTATGATGAAGAAGAGTGGTGTCAGGGGATGGTGGTGATGAAGCATGGTCGCGCGTGTGCACTGGCGACATCGTACTTCCCAGCATGTGCGTTTGCTGAGTCCCACGTCTGGCTCCTTGAACAAACTCACTTCCAACATGCCTCCAGATTGGGGGAGCAAGAACTGGTATAAACATAAACACTCAGAGGTCCGCGCGGATTTCTCGGATCGGCGCTGGAACCCCCTCCCTGGCGCGCGGAGCGCGCCAGGGGCGGCGCCGGAGGCGTCGCTGGGGGGCCCCAGCGCCGATCCGACGAATCCGCGCGGACCTCCGAGTTTTTATGTTTATGTCACTTCTTGTTCTCCTGCAGATGCTTCTTGGTGTGTCCGTTTCCCCGTGCGAAGGAGCGACATTTTTTTCAGATCCGCCGCGAGTTCTGGGGCTTACCCATGGACGCCTTGCGTAACTTTCGGGGGCCACGATGGGGGCGAATGGTCCAGGGGAGAACAATACATGTATCCAGGGGCGCCGATGGTCCATGCCTTCGGCGAGGCTCCTGGGCGAATACGTGTAATTCAGGAGCGAAAGAAGGACGTACATGTACATGAATCCACGCTGGTTTCGAGAGTACGCATTGCGCAAATGTTCGTATAACGCGGCCGGTCTCGCGGATCGAGGGGCCGTGTTCATGTACATAGCTGGGCGCGTACGTCCTTTGCGGGCTCCCTAGTAATGCCCGCCCCTGTGCTATTCGCCCCTATCGTCGCCCCCGAAACTTGCGCTTGGCTGAAGGGGCCAGGGCGGGCCACAAGTGAATCCATCTCCTTCGGCCGCACGCCTGGCCACGCGAGAACCCCACGGGCCGCGCTATAACTCTGCCTGCTTCGCCAAGTTTCTGCCGCCCTGGCCCCTGGTCCAGGCTGCCCAGACGGGGCCAGAGCAGATTTCAGTCGGGCCTGTCCCTCGACAGGAGGAATCTGCAGAAATAGGCAGAAAATATTCGGGGAACGATTTTCTGGGTATTTTTGGATTTGTTGGGTGCATTTTTCTACTATTTCTTATTTTTCGTTGAAGCTCCGCCTGTAGGAGCACACGCCCGACCTAACAATAACTCTGCCTGCTTCTCCCAATTCCTGCCGCCCTGGGCCCTGTTCCAGGCTGCCCAGACGTGGCCAGAGCAGATTCAAGTCGGCGCGTCCGTCGCCGATGCATCGGCGACGCGGCGCGCTCCGGAGCCCGATCATCTCCATCTCAACATCGCCCGTGCATCGTCGATCTTGAGACCCCGTCCGGGCGACCTCAACTCGGATGTGTCGGGCGGTCGGCCCGTGAACGCTTCACTTGTCGCAGTCGGATAGAGGTAGAGGTTATGATTCGTCGCACGATCGGTTGATAGCTCAGGGCGCGTATAGGAAGACGGGGATGATGAGGAGGATGAGGATGAGGATGAGGATGAGGATGAGGATGAGAGGATGAGAGGATGCGAGGATGAGGATGAGGATGATGGACTTTTCTATTGAAGATGAATGCTTTTAGAGGGGAAGGGAGAGGCCGAATGCTGAATGCGTTGTGTCCTTTCAATAGCCTTCGGCTCTCGAGCTGGTGGGCCGCGGCGTGGCCGCGGCGCATGGCCGGGGCCTTCCTGGGGCTTCCCGCGGGTTGGGCAGGGCTCATCGACCGCTGGGGCGTCCCTGCGCTCCAGGCGTGGGTCGCGCGCTGCCCAGCGGTGGAGCTCCCGCCGTGCCCAGCGTAGCGTGCCCAGGGTGCAGCTGCCCATCCTGTCCGCCCTGCTCTGGAGCCACGGTGGGCGCGACCACGGGCACCGTCGCCCTCGCCTGTGGGACGGCCGCGCTGGCGGGCGCGTCGCTCGGGGCCCTCGGCACGTTCACGGCGCTCCGGCTCCGGGCGCCGCGCTGGGGTGCGGCGGAGGGCCGCGGCCGGCCTTCGACGGTCGCCAGCGCGACCGGGTCGCCACCGCCGCTCGCCGCGCTCGCCGGGGGGCCTCATGGCGGAGGCGCGGGCGTGGGTCCTGTACAACGTGGTCGGCGCGCCGCTGTTCCACCAGAGGAGGGTGGCGGGCCAGCTGGCACTCATGACGTCGTCATCGTGACCCCGGACGACATGGTCTACCCCGAGACCTTGCTGGCGGCGGGGCCCGACGTCTCGGCGGTGAGGTTCTCGGCCACGAGGTGGCCGCCGCCGCGGGGGATCGACCCTGGCTCGACGTACAGGTTCCGACAGGCCCCCTCGGCGGCGCGCGAGGCAGCCTGGCTGGCGGCCGCCGTCGCGGAGGCCGACGCGGAGTTCGGCCGCCGCCATCCTGGGGTGCCCGCGCCGCCTGGGGGCACCCTGGTGCCCATGGCGGGGGGCCTGCTGCCGGGGTTCGTGGCGCCCGCGGCCGTGGCGGCCGCCGTCATGGGGCCTGTGCCGCCTCCCGTGGGCGCTGCCGCCGCCCCGCCCGCGGCCGGGGCCGGCGCCGCCGTGGCGGCTGCTGCCGGGCCGCCCGCGCCCGACGGGCCGCTCCCCGTGGTGGCGCCGGGACCCACGGCTGGCGTGCCCATCGCACCGTGCGCCCCCCCCGTCGTCGGCGCTCCTCCGGGACCTTCCTGGAAGGACGACGGCGGCGCCCCCCTAGGGGAGCACGGCGAGGCGCCAGCGGGCTGGTCGTGGGTGCTTGCCGAGGACGCGGGCGGCCTCGCCTACGGCTCCGTGGCGCAGGTCGGCTCGATCGGTGGCACGCTCCTGGCCGCGCGGGCGGGCCGAAGGGCGACGGTCACCCTCGTCGGGGGAGCTTCCGCCATGGCTTTCCTCCGTGAGGACTGGCGGCGGGGCGACTTCATCGACAAGTGGCGGGGCACCGACGCGAGGACCTTGGCGCGCGCGCCGGGCACTCGCCTGGCGCGGAGCTGGCTCGCGGTGACCGAGGCGGCGGTGGAGGTGGCAGACCCCAGTTTTCCCCTGCAGCCGAGGTCCGCGGCGTGGTGCGTGGCGTGGTTGCTGAGGGAGGGCGGGCCTATCCAGCACCACGAGAGCTGGAAGTCCCGCGAGCGGCTCAGCTCATCGGACTGGGGCGTCTCAGCGCACCGCGCGCTCTCCACCGTGCTGGAGGACCTCGCCACGCATGACGAGGTCAATGTGACGAACCTCCTCGGCGTGGAGCGGATGCTGAGGAAGATGCAGCTGATCGAGCATATCTGGGACGAGAAGCAGCGAGAGCAGGATTCTGGACAACTGGAGCTGCCGGTGGAAGAGGTCTCCGCCTTCATGGGCGGCACGGGTCTGTCGAGCCGCCCGAGCAGCATGGCGTGCCCTGCCCTGCTGGACGTCGTCGGGAAGGAGCTCGAGCGCATCAGTCAGATCAAGAAGAACGCCCGCAAGCTGCGGGAGGAGGCGAAGGCCGCCGCTGGGCCGAAAGCCAGCGGAGCCAAGGCATGACTCTCTCATGCCCGGAGGGGCCCAGTGGCCCAGCCCCCCCGGGCGCTACGGCATCAGGGCCCGTCTCGGCGACAACCTGTGGCGCTGAGGGTGTACATGGCACATTCGACGGCTTGGGTGCAGAGCGGCAGCGGGATCTCTTTCCGCTGCCAGCGCCCGGCGCCGCCGACCCTGGCGGGCTGGCTGCTGGCGCCTGTTCTCGAGCCGTGCGGCGGCGCGCTCGGCGCGCAGCGTCCGCGCCCTGGCTCGCGCGGCAGGCGGTCGAGGCGCTCAATGGCCTCGGCGGCGCTGGGGCGCAGGGTGGCTCACCGCCGCGGGCTGGCGCGACGCCCGCGCAGCAGCAGTGCCTGGCGCGAATCGCGGGCTCCGTCGCCCAGCTGGGTCCCCCGCCAGGCGACCTACAGCCTTTGGCAGCCCTGCAGGAGCTCCAGGCTGCTCTGTCCTACGATGGCTCGCTATCGACGAGGGCAGAGGCGATGGGCGTCTCCTGGCTCTCGCTGCCTCCTCCAGGTAACCACCCTGTGGCGCTGGAGCGGCTCCTGGGCGCCGAGGTGTTCGACCCCGCCCATCGTGATATCTCGTGCAAGGTCTGGCCAAAGGCCGAAGTTCTGCAGCAGAAGCAGCGCGTTGGCTTCGAGAAGCCCTACTCGGACCCCAGCCTTCGAGACCCTCGCCGCTATGCAGCGCTGGCGAGGCGTCTCCATGAGGCCAGGGCGGTCGACCTCGTCAGCGACGCCGCCCTGGTGGTCGACGAGGTTGGCCTTTTCAGCGTGGCCAAGAAGAGCGGGAGGCAGCGGCTGGTCGTCGACGCCCGCCCGGCCACCTTCTGGTTCGGCGACCCCGAGGGCGTCCTCCTGGCCACCGTTGCGCTGGCGGTGATCGAGTTGCCAGACGGCGCCAGCTTGTGGACCGCCTCGGCGGACATCGCGGACGCCTTCTACAACGCGGAGCTGCCGGACGCCTGGAGGCCGTACGTCGCGCTCCCTCCGCTGGACTCCTGGAGGCTTGGGCGTGAGACCGCCCCCCGGCAGCCTCACCCGCAGCGGCTCTGGCCACGGCTCGCGGTGCTGCCCATAGGCTGGCCCCGCGCGCTGGCCATCTGCCAGCGGGTTTCGGAGGCGGCCGCCGACCGCGCAGGGCTGTCGGTGCTGTCCAGGATCGCGGACCGGCGTACTGGCCCTTGTCTGGGCGCCGGCGCGCACCTCGTGTACGTCGACAACTTCGCGCCCCTCGCCCTCGACGGCGACACTGCCGACCGCCTGAAGGATGACATGGTCACCGAGCTGCGCAGCGAGGGCCTCCCGTTGCATGAGGAGGGGCCTGCCCCGCTCCGCGCGCAGGTGCTGGGCTGGGTGATCGATGGCGCGCGGGGAGCAGTCACGCCTTCGCCTCGGAGAGCCTGGAGGATCATCCTGGCCGCGCGTGCGCTCCTCGCCATGCCGAAGGTCTCGGCTCAGCAGGTGCGCCAGTTAGTGGGGCACTACACTTTCCTCTTCATGGCGAGGCGCCCGCTGCTGGCTGTTCGGCCGCGCACCGCTTCATCGCAAAGGCCGGCGAGGCGCCCCGGCCCTGGTGGCCCAGAGCGCGCCGGGAGCTGGTGTGGGCCATGGGAGTTGTCCCGCTGGCGCACGCCGACCTCCGGGCCCGGTGGTTGGGCCGAGTTCTGTGCGCGGATGCCTCCGAGTGGGGCCGAGGGGTATGCGAGCGTGAAATGAGCGGAGACGTGGTGGAGAGGATGGGTAGGATCCAGGAGCGCTGGCGCTTCCGAGACCCCAGTGCCGGGGCGCCGCGGGAGCAGCTCATCGAGCCCCTCGAGCCCCTGGAGGCCCACGTCTACTCCGAGCCGTCCTCGAGAGGTCACGTCAGCAGCGCGCCGTCGGACATCCAGGAGCCCATCGCCCCCGTGGTCAAAGGCAGCCCCCACGTGGAGCCCCGGGAGACCGACTTCGAGCCTCTGGAAGTCCATCTCTGGGGACTGGGTCGCCATCTCGAGCGGGGCCTGGGAGAGGGAGGAGCACGTCGCACCCTTGGAGGGGGGGCCTAATCCACGCCTTGAAGCACGTCCTCCGGGACGCCGGGCAGCGCGGCCATCGCGTCCTCTTCCTCTCAGACAGTCTCGTCGCCGTCCTGGCTCTGGCCAAGGGCCGCTCCTCGCGACCGAGGATGGCGCGCATTTGTCGCCAGTGGGCCGCCCTCGTGGTGGTAGGGGGCGTCACCGCGGCGCTGCGGTGGATCCCGTCGGACGCGAACCCGGCGGATCTGCCCCCCCGCCAGGCGCTGATGATCGGCGCGCGGCTGCGCTGGGACGCCGTCGCCAGTCTGGCCGCCGCGCGGGAGGCCGGAAAGGCAGGCGATGGTGTCGGCGCCTCTCGTGACGATGGCCCCGCGCCAGCCGGCGGCGGGGGGCTCCCGCCAGGCGGCGGCCTCGCAGCGAGGCTTGCGCCAGGCGAGATGCAGCCGCCTGTCGAGGCCGGCGGAGGCGGGCGCCAAGCGTGCGGGGGAGACCGCGGCGCGGGCGCCCAAGGCAGCCCCCCGGGCCATGTCCTGAGGACCATCTCGGTCTCGGCGGTCCCGACGGCCAAGTACGCGCGCCTCTGGGCCGATCTCGCGGCCTGGATGACGTCCGTGACCGTGGTCCTCCGCGCCGAGACCGCGGACGACCTGCTGGAGCACTGGATGGGCCAGCAGCGCGCCAAGGATGGGGGGCCCCGAGCGCATGGACTGCCGGCTGGTGGCGCTGAAGTTCATGATGCCGCAGCTCGGGCGCGGGGGCCAGGGGTTGCCGAAGGCGCAGGTCTACAACGTGGTGATCTCAGTCGACCTGCCGTCCTACAGCTCCCTGCCCGACGCTCCGAGCTGGCTCGAGGCGGGGGCCCGCCCGAGCGAGCCGAATTTCCCGTTCGCCCTTGTGCGCGTCATTCCCTGCTCAAGGAGGCGGCGGAGGGCGTGAAGCTGGCGACGCTCACCCCGCGGCTGTGCCAGCTGCGGCGCTCGAGCCCGTCGGTGGAGTTGGCCCGGCAGCTGCGGGCCCTGGCCAGCGCCGAGCTCCGCGGCCGTCGGCAGGCCGACGCGTCGGTTGCGCGCCTCCCCAAGCTCGGCCGCGTCAGCGCGCAGCTGCAGAGGCTGGCGCCCAAGGTGCAGCGCGCGGCCCCGCTGGCCCTGGCACGGCTGGCCTCTCTCCTCGGCTGGCGCTGGGGAGGCTGCTGGGCCCCCGCCGCCGCCGTTTCCTGGCGCCTCCGATCTTCGTGGAGGTCTTCTCCGGCGAGGGCGCGCTGGCGGCAGCTCTGCGGAGCGAGGGGCCTCACCAACCCGAAGGTGTCCCGGGTGTTGCGGGGCTGGCTGGGCGCCGGCCTGATCTGGGGCCTGCACTTCGGTGCGCCCTGCGAGACGTGGTCCAGAGTCCGGGACGCCGGGCCGCTGCGCGTGCCAGGCGGGCCCCCGTCCTTGCCAAGCCGCCTTCGCTCCGACTCGGAGCTCTGGGGGCTCGCAGCTGTGACGCGCCCGGCGGACCGAGCTCAGATTATGACCGCCAATAAGTTAGTGAGGTGCTGTGAAAGTGCGTGGGCCAGTTGCAATAAGCGCATGCAGATCCCGTGTACAGTCGAGAATCCCGCGACGTCTAGGCCGTGGCTCATTCCGTCTCTGCAGTGCTTTCGAAAGCAACCGCATGTGTTGGGCAGTCACGCATGTTTGCCAAGACGGGACCGCGTGGAAAAAGCCGACTGGTCTCCTTGGTTATCGTGTGGATGTCTTTGCTTTCGCTCGTTTGCGCACGGGCTCTCGTACGTGCCGTAGTAGGACTGGTCAGCCCCATCTGATTCTAAGAGGAAAAGCTCCAGGAAGGCCTCTGTGGACTTTAGTTGCGCAGGCCTACCCCAAGGCGCTTGCGAGACGATGGGCTCGCGCGCTCATTGGCGCCAGGCTCCACTCCGAGGCTCTGTCAATCACGCCGATCTGGCTAGGCCGCTAACACAGAGGAGTAGCCCTCCGGATAGTTCGGGTTGTTTTGGCCGTGGGGCCGTGCGCCAGAGCCAAAAATTCGGTTGATGAGTATTCTCTCTTGCCGGCCCCAGAGTCGTTCACAGTGCTGCCTCTTGCTGTCTAACAGAATCCGACCTGGCCTCGGAAATATCATCGTCGGGAATGGACTTTTCTATTGAAGGTGAATGTCTTCAGAGGGGAAGGCAGAGGCCGAATGCTGAATGCGTTGTGTCCTTTCAATAGCCTTCGGCTCTCGAGCTCCCACCCTCCCGCCCTGTTGCTGCTGTAAGGCTTCGCCGTGGCCGTGGGGCCGTGCGCCAGAGCAAAAATTCGGTTGATGAATATTCTCTCTTGCCGGCCCCATAGTCGTTCACGGTGCTGCCTCATGCTGTCTAAGAGAATCCGGCCTGGCCTCGGAAATAACATCGCTGGGCATGATGATGATGAAGATGATGAAGATGATGATGATGATGATGATGATGATGATGATGATGATGATGATGATGGTGGCGATGCTGATGATGATGGTGGTGGTGATGGTGGTGGTGATGACGATGATGCTGATGATGACGACGGCGATGACGGGGTGTTGCTGCTGATGCTGATGGTGATGATGATGGTGGAGATGATAATGATGATGATGATGATGATGATGATGATGATGATGATGGGTGGTGGCGACGATGATCGTGCTGCTGCTGATGATGGTGGTGATGATGGTGCTGATGATGCTGCTGATGATGATGATAATGGGTGGTGGCAATGGTGGTGGTGATGATGATGCTGATGCTGCTGATGATGGCGCTGATGATAACGATGCTTCTGATGATGATGGTGATGATGATGCTGATGGTGATGATGATGCTGATGCGGCTGATGATGAGGATGATGATCATGCTGGTGCTGCTGATGATGATGCTGATGAAAACGGCAACGATGATGATGCTGATGATGCCGAGGGTGATGATGATTATGATGATGATGGTGATGGTGATGATGCTGATGCTGATGCTGATGCTGATGCTGCTGCTGCTGATGGAAGGCCCATCTGGCCGCGGATGGGTGCAGCTCCAGGGACGGGCCAGGATGGAACCTGGGAGGCGTCAAGGGACCATTCTGAACGGACTTCGGCCAGGCGACGAAAGCGACCTCGAACACCTCGACGACGATCGCAGACGACCGACGACGCTCGACGACGACCTCGACGACCGGGACGAACGACCGCGACAGCGACGCACATTTGGTTGGGCGCATGTTCGGTCTGGCACAGGCTGTCGGTTTCCCCTCCAGCTTCCCTCAAGTCCGGCACTTCCCTCTACAGGAGGAAGGCTCACACATAGTGCAACAATCGTATGGTGACGATGTTTTGGCATTTTGTTTTTTGTTGATGCAAGTTTCGGGTATTGCTTTGAATACCTTTACTTGTTTGCGCCCAACATCAGCCTGCAGGCGGACACGCCCGACCTAAGGCTTCCCCTCTCAAGGTGGTCCTGCAGAGGAGGCCTCGGCCCCCGAGGGCTCCTTCTTTTTGTTTGTGCGGGGCGCCAGCCACTGGTCAGCATTGTTTCACCGACCCCCATCCCCATCCTCATCCTGTGGCCCCCCTCCCAGAGAAGGAGGAGGAGGAGGAGGAGGAGGAGGAGGAGGCAAAGGAGGAGGAGGAGGAGGAAGAAGAACTCGAGGAGGAGGAAGAGATGGAGGAGAAGGAGGAGAGGGAGGAGAAGGAACAGGAGGAGGAGGAGGAGGAGGAGGAGAAATTTGGAGGAAGAGGAGGAGGAGGATGAGGAGGAGGAGGAGGAGGAGGAGGAGGACGAGGACGAGGACGATGACAACGGCGAGGGATGGGAGCCACAGGAGACCCCCACCAAATTACCACCCCAGTAGGGGATACACCCCTCGAAACCCGAAGGGAACGACCCATATCCCCATCCAGGGGGGGTAAGTTGGCCAGTGGGGCCCAGAACACGCCGCTGGGGATGGGGGTCGGATAAACGATGCTCAACTGGTAAGTCTTGGTGCCGCCCCGAGGCCTCGTGCCCAAAGGAGTTCCCAGAGGTCCCCAGAGGTCCCCCAGGGGTCCCTGGGGGCCTCGCCTCCGCAGGGGCCCCCGGGAGGCCTTTGCGGAGGCCCCTGCGCAGGCCCCCCGAACACGGGCCGGAAAAGCCCACGGGGGGGGGTTCGACGTGCTCTGCCGGACTGTGAAGCTCGATGCCTTGGGCCTCCTCGGTCCTCGAGGATGTTGTTGTTCATCCCCCTGCGCGAAGCGGACGTTACCCGGGCACCTGTAACGATCGTACGTGGTGGGGGGTTTGGACCCCCCCCCCATCCCACATGCCGGTGCTCGCGCGCGCACTGTGGCGATCGCAGCTCGCCCCCGCCACTACGTGCCCCACCCAGCCCGTGACGACGGACATGGTAAAAATCAACTATGTCGGGCTGGCTCGGTCCTTGATCCTCGATGCGGGCCAGATGTGTATCCATACCCGCTGCGTCTTGGAGTCTCGGGCTCCCTTCCCCAGAAGCCCGAGGCGCAGTGGATATGTGTAAAGATCTGGATCCTTCTGAAGCTAGATCTGTATCCATATCCACCGCGCCTCGGCCTTGTGTGGCGCCCCTTCCCAGAGGAGCCCAAGCCAAGACGCAATGGACATGGACACAGCTCTTGCCCGCACTCGAGCCCCCTTGATTCTCGAGCAGAACCCGCGGGAGGCGAGGGCAAAGCCTGGCAGCCGCCAGAGGAGGATGAGGGAGATGATGATGATGATGATGATGATGATGATGATGATGATGATGATGATGATGATGATGATGATGATGATGATGCTGATGCTGATGCTGATGCTGATGCTGATGCTGATGCTGATTGCTGATGG